GTTGTAGTGTCTGTTTATAAGAGACTAGGACGAACCCGGTTCGATTCCAGGTGGGGTCTTCCAAGATCGTGACGCGGACCTTTTTTTTGCGTGTGGGTCTAATTATACTTACACAAGGTACGAGCTTTTCGTCGTACTGCTCTGTTTATGATTCCCCAGCTGCGTACGTATTGGGTGTTCTGGCAGAGCCAGATTAATCTCTTCTGTAACTTTACGCCGACTTGAATGTTAGTGGGCTTTTTGCGCGAATACGATGCTCCGGTTGGAGGTATCTATCTCTGACCTAATCCTCCAGGACCAAGACCCCGTAGCATTCGGCATGCGAGCCCGGTTCGATCCCGGGCGGGGTCTTACACGGATATTCCGCGGGTTTTGTTTTTCTGCGTCTTCATCTTCACGCAGATTTCAACCTTCCGCCATGTGCTGTAATATGTACCGCTGTACGCAGAATTCCGTGGCGTTGCTGGATAAATTACTGTTCGGTGAGTAATACCATGCGGGAATGTTTTTTTTTTGCGCCTTCGTGTGCGGCTGAGGGCCAAGGTTTCTACCATAACGCAGGTAAATCCACCGCACAGAACGTGGTATGCCTTCATTCCATGGAAGGATTAAGGCATACAGTTCACGCCGCGGGATAGCCGCCAAAGGTTCAGCGCTGCTGCGCCAATCAACGAGTCTTCCAATTGATGATCAGGTAGCATTGGAGCTTGCCAAGGGGGGTTTTGTCCAAAGGACACAAAGGAAGAGTGCGCCGATGTTGACTTGACAAGAGGGTTTTTGTCACCTTCGGCTAAGCCATATTTATTCCCCAGCGTGGTCGACGGGGGGGGAAATATTTGCTTGAATGTGTGAGTACGATGCTATGCCTGAAGGTATTCACCTCTCCGGACGAGAGTCTCACACAGAGAGCGCGTTTTTCCGGGTGTTCATCTGCACGTACAGCCGTGGTGTGATTATGTGCAACTGCAGGCAAAAATCATACCTGCCAATGGTCGTGGTTCATTCAATGGGAATATCACCACGCTGGACTGCACGCGCACGCACATGAGGTCCTTCCCTTCTCACCCAAGACCCCGTAGCATGCGGTCTGCATCCGCACAATCTCACACGGGTCTGAGCTTGATTAAACAGCGGACGAACCCGGTTCGATTCCGGGCGGTGTCTTGTCCCTGTGCTGTAGGTTTTTTTTTCCGCCCTCATCTACACGCAGGGCTGAACATTATGTGCGGCTGCAGGTAAAATCTGTGTTTCCTCAGCGTTGTCAGATATCGATAAATCATGCCCGACGTGGTCTATTCGATGCTGCACTCAACGCGTAGGATCTTCTACCTCTTTCCCACTTCATACTCACCCACGCTTCACTGCTACGACCCCGTAGCATCTGGTATGCATCCGCTCAATTTTAAGACACAGCATCAAATGTAATTCACGCGGAGGAACTCGGTTCGATTCCGGGCAGGGTCTTGACTGAAGGAGAATGCTTTTTGTGTCACTTCCATTACATGGTCTAACGAACTCCCCCGCCGTCCTAGTAACGCCTGTTCATAAGCACATAGCTGCACGCTTGGGGGTGTTCGGCAGAGGCACATTAATTTCTTCCGCAGGGTCGGCCGGCGTCAACAAAGAAAATCGATGCTGGCTTGAATGGTGGTGGATTCATTTTAAACCATGCAACCTGGAACAAGACCCGACATGCCGTGTGCCCGCCGTCCATTTGTTTGTTGGGAGAGATGTTCGCAGGGTTCCCGGGCGGGGTCTTAGACACTCCCGACGGAAGCTTTTTGTGTCTTCATTTGTACGGAGCGCCGAGCCGCTGGTTTCGTATTGCCGCCAAATTCCTTGTGCATTGCGGGATAAATTAAACCAGGCCTCGGTCTTGCTTGGTTCATTCAATATAAGCAATACAATGCTGCCTCACATGAGCTCGCGATCCGTTCCTTCATAACCAGGCCCTGTAGCATTCGACATGCAGCCGCGCAATGTGAAAATGCTTCTTGCTAATTCACGGGGACGAACCCGGTTCGATTCCGGGCGGGGTCTTGCGCTGGTGGATTGTAAGAGTTTTTGTTTGCAGCCCCATTTTATTCTGCCGCCGTGGGCGGGGAATATGACGCCGTTTGTCTTGAGTGTTTGTTGTGACTGAGCATTCTCGCGGTCTGGTCTGGGGATACCAGAGGATACCAGACTCTACTTGCTCTTGTTCTCACTTCATGGGATCCTCTCGGCCGGACATGCCGCAAACTGTGGTAGGTATTCCATCTACTTGAAATATAGTCGTTATAAGGCGCACAGAATAGTTCACCAACACCGCCAAAGTTGAATCAACAGTTGAAAAAAACACCGTGCAGGAGGAAAGGTCAATCAGCGATTGGGTCTTTACATCCCTGAGAGGGAGAGTCGTCGGATGAATCGTGTTTAAATGTTCAAATTGGGCGCACCGGACAAGAAAGAAGGCAACCCGTTTGAGAGTGAGCACGTCGTTTTTCAACTTTGGCGGCTTTCGGCTGATACTGATCACGGCACCTCCCGCGGCAACCACCACGTGAATGTTCAACTTTTCTTCGCACGCGACGTCATGACCTAGCCCGCTCCACTGGAGTCGCCGTTATCGTCAGTTCTAGTATAAAGATCCCCAACAAATGGCGCTCTCTCATTACGCTCTTCCTCCCGCCATCTTCCCAACTTTCCCTCCACTTCCCTGCACGTCCGATGGCTTCCACAAACCCCACCGCCCGTCCGCCCAAGGCTCCGCCCATGACCTCCATGCCTTCTACCCCTGGACCCGACGTTCCGGGCGGCTATCCACGCAACAGCACCGTTTTCGCGTCGAATCAGTGGGATAAGAACGCAAAATCGAAGTCGAAGCCGGGTCTGTTTGCTGCTGCGAAGAATTATCTGCCGCCTGCCGTCGCGTCTTATTTGCGTACGTGTGTTCTTCTCTTCAGTCTCTGCATTTATTGCTCTTTGCGACATCATGCGTTCATCCACGTCGCACTTTCTGCTCATCTATCGCTGCTTGCGCATTTTCCATTCATCTCGTTGTCCTTGCACCCCTTGGTTCGAACCGTCCTAATGCTAATCTATTCTTCCTACAGCGAAATCGGGTGCAACGCCAACACCCAACGGCCTCGCGCCCCCACCGCTCAACAGGGACGGCAGCACTGGCGCCGTGAGCGATAACTTCAGCACGCGCGCCTACGCTGGCTCCGGCTCCTCGCGCGACGTCGGTACCCCCCTCGCCACGCCCCTCCCGTCCGACTTTCCTTCCCCGCCCACCTCCCCGCCGCACGACACCGCCTCGCGCGCGCTCTCGCACAATCCGTACTTTCCCCCTGCCCCTGGCGCGGGTGCCACTACCGTCGAGTCGCCCGTTGAGAAGGAGCCGGTGGTGGAGAAGAAGGTGGAAAGGAAGGAAGTAATCCCTGTCCCCACCGGCCAATCTGCCACCGCTGCTACTCCTGCTCCCACTGCCTCCGCCGCGCCCGCCGACACCGACAAGCTCTCCCCCGTCTCCGCCGCATCCACGACCTCGAACACCAACTCGACGTTCAGCGGCACCGCGCCCTCGAGCGTGAGCACCGCGCCCTCCTCGCCCGCCTCTCCTACCTCTGCCGGCGGCGCGAAGAAACCGCAGTTTGTCTTGGACCCCCTCGCGCCTGAGCCTGCTTCGCCGAAATCGAGCAAATTCGCAAACACACTCGCGCGTCTGGGCTCGCGGCGGCGCGTCGACACGGTCGCTGGTGCGGGTGCGTCGGCGCCGCCGAGTTCGTTCAACGCCGGGTCGGGGCATGCGCGCGCACGGAGTGAGGGGGGTACCACCGAGTTCGGCGCGAACGCGGCGAATGGTGGTAAGGGAGTAGCGCCGAAGCGGAGCGGCTCTCTGCTACGCACGCTGCGCGGCGAGGCCACCGTGCTCGCAGGGCGCATGAGACGCGACCCGGGGCGCGTGGAGAGGGGGAGGAGGATGATGGACGGGGCGAACTGATCTATTCCGTTGTGTCGCGTCTTCCGTTCTTCCTTTACTGGTCTGTGAACGCTGACCGCAAAAACTAAAACCGATTGAACTCTGATTTACTGGGACTCTGTACTATATTGTACTTACCTGCTTAGACTATATATCTGGACTCGACTACGATTTACATACATATCTGGACTCTCTTCGAGTTGCGATTCACGCCACGCTCCTTTCGTTACATGTATGATAGATACTCTGCTACTTAAGCTTATATTGTAATGGATGATAATTACCTCGCTTTCTTTCGCCTTGGTGGTGCGTCGCAATGCGGTGGGCCATGGTCGCGAGACTGTGAGGCTGAGTGACCAAAAAAGTTGCGGGGGTCACGTATTATGGCCTCGGGAGGAATCGAACCTCCGAGTCGGTTCCTTCTGGCTTCAATGAGCACCGAAGGGCCTCAGCTTGAGGTCGAGGCGGTGGTTGAGTTATCGGACTCATTTGCTCTATTTAAGCGATTCAATGGGAGGACGTGAACGGACCTCCGACTTCTTCTTCTATGGATTTACTTTCCCTTTGTTGCGGAGCTGACCCATACTCACGACCACTCAACCATTCCCACCTCCCTCTGCGCGCAAGGTAAGGCAAATTCAAACACGTGCCCACGCCCGAACGAACCGAAGTTCGAATCCGAGTACACAATCAGCTCACGACTGGGATCTGCAAACGAATATATTAATAGGAGTATGTGATACCCTCGAGTTGAAGGGGTGCTCCCACAAAATCAACGGGTTCACGTCGAGCAGTTTATTGCGGGTGTGGACCGTCGACTACTGAGCCTTATTCCTGTGGGTGCATCCACGGAGGGGCGTTCATTTGCCTCGCCCTGCACGCACTGGGCGAGGTTTGACCCTTTAATGTTCAACCGTAATTTGAACCTCCCCCGACGTTTGAAACGTTGAAGCTTGACTCACTCTACTCAGTCGTGGGATCTGTTCGGAACGATCAGTCGTGTAGGAAGGGAAAAAAATACTTGCGCGAGATCCCATGGCCCGGACCCGAGTCGAACGGGTGCTCCCACAAATCATTAATATTGCGTTCATAGAGCATTCATTATCGTGTGCGAGTGTGAACAGTCCACCACCGGGCCTTCCTCCTCGACTTCTGTGGGTGTATAACACGGAGGGACTCAGCGCTCATTTGACTCGCCTTGACCCTTTAATCTAGGGTTTCAACTGGAATTCCAACCTCCCCCGCCATTATGGCCATGTTTGACACTCTTGACTTAACTCAGTTGTGGGATCTGTTCAGAAGAACCAAAGAATCGAGCATTCGTAGGGAGTAATTCGAAAATCCCATGGCCCAGCCCGAGTCGAACGGGTGAGCATACAAATCATTGTGTTCATATAACATTCATTATCGTGTGCGGATGTGGACCGTTCACCACCGGGCCTTCCTCCCCTACTGATGTGGGTTCATACATGCGACCTTATCTTAACCGTCAGTTCGACCGTGCGCGTGGGTTTTTCCGACGAAGATTTGAACCTCCCTCCCCATTATCACGATCGTGAAACGCGAATCCGAATATGACGAAGGGGATCAATGTTCAACTATTGGCTGAGTAGCGCGAACTGCACCATCGCGTGTGTAGAAGAAATGTGCGTGTGTGCAAAAGACAATGCGTGTCTATCTTTTTGTCCGATGTCGGCCTTCATAGTTGGAGGCGGAATTCGGGTACAATGCGTCTCTATCTCATTATAACCTCTTCCACTCCATTCTCTCACTCGCTTCACCTCGAATTGGGCCATTGGCTGAACAGGTCCGCAATCATCAGGGGTACTGACCACGTTTATTCATCTCAGTTCCATTCCTTTCTGTGGATCTGGCGACGGAACAGCTAGGATGGCCAATTCCGGGTAAATTATGATGGGCGGAGATATGTTCAGCTTCTACACCCCACAGATCCCACGTCGACGGAAGAACGGGTCCCGCGTTCTGTGGCCACCTGCATTCTCTCATCGCCTCTGATCCTCATTTCAATATAAACTCGGACACCACCTAGGAACCCGCCGTACGCGGGCGTTCTTTTTCGCTCACCAACACCGCAGGAACTTGATGCGCACAGCAGACATTTACAGCACATCCTTCCGATAAAGTTACCGGTGAGTCCTCGGCGCCACACAGCGTGGAACGGCGCTCTCCCTATTGATCTCTGCTTACTGGTGCGCACATCCGGACCCGCAGCTATTGAATATTGACGAGTCAAGCGTTAATTATGGCGCTGCGTATATAAGGTCGGACCCCTTGGCTGTCCGCTCATCACTCACTCATGTAATGGACGGTGAACCATACAACGATTCGGACTTCCTCTTTGAACCCGCTTCACCCGATGCGTCACCGCGAGTAAAATCCCCTTAATCTCTGTATCGAGATTAATACTCCACACCAGATATTCCGGCACTTTTTTCCCGAACGCACAGAATTTTATCCTCAACGGGGGCAGCTTTACCAGCGTCACACAAATAAACGTTGTGGTAGCGCCTCTTGGTACCCCGGGAGGTACTATGCCCTCGAAATTAGCTATCAACACACTATAATACGTCCCACAGAGTTTCATCTCAGTGATCTCCGACCACTGAGCGAAATTGTGGGTTCAATATCCTAGAGTCTGCAGGGAATCTACAATCCTTGTTCCCACAGACTTACCGCAGTACCTCGGCGATGAGCATTGCAACATACGACATTCATGATCAGAGCAGAGAGGTGGGTGAACTGAGTTCAACCCCTAGCCGTCACTCAGGCCTGCGGAAATGGTGCTAGGAAGTCGTCCGAAGGCCGTGGTTTCGGTGAGCGACGTGTAACTCGCCTGTGCCGATATATATCACTGACTGCCTCTAAGAAATGTAGCAGATATTCTCCGCGAAAACCTCTGTGGCTTCTTCGCTGCCTGACGTCATAACTCAACTCTCGGTTTCTACTAGACGTCTGTGTACAATTTGGTTACGCGGGGAGATTAGAGATTAGAACCGTACATGCCGAGGATATTAAGGTTTGCCGGTTGATCGGCAACTGATCCCCGGCTCCCAGCGAAGGAACGGCCGCTGTGCCGAAATGCCGAGGCGTGTCATTTAATAAAGTGTGTACTATTAATGTCCGCGGACATCACATTCTTATTCTGAGCAATGTATTCATGTCCGCCAGTCTTGGTCATGATGTCCGCGAGGCAAACCAATTTTGTCCTTCTCTCTGTCCTCCATTAACCGTTCTTTAACGGGATGCCTCGCGTTCATTTGCATATCTTTGGTCTCATCCCCATGTAGGTTATCTCCCTTCGTCTTCCTCTCCTTTCTCTCTCTTCAAGTCCTTGCTGTTGCTGCCCCGTGCACAGTCAAAATCAATCACCGCACCTGTGCATCATTCAAAAAACATTTAATTTTTCACACAATCACCGAAACTCAGCAACGGCGCAGCTCAAAATCCACCTCAGTTGAGATTTCACCTCTGTTCAACCGCTGTGGATCAGCGATTGAATTATCGAGCCGCTATCCGCGCAGCCCAAGAGGCTGTTCAACTGCGAGATTCTTACCCCGCAGCGTGCAGCTGCACAATATAAATCCCCCAACTGTCCCGCCCACTCGTCCTGTTCTTTCCCCCATCTCCGAGTCTCTCCGCTTCTCCCCTCAAGATGGTTCTGCCGTCCTGAATCAAGAACTTCACATCACCAATCAAGATACGCAAACTGTTTATGGACTTCCCCCAATTCCTCCGTGCTCCCTCAACAAGACTGGCGCCCTCCGAAATCAAGACCCTTCAACCACAGTCGTAAGAGGCAAATTGCAACCAGCACTGCCTCCTAAAACACGATATCTCGAATCCTCACCTCAAGACAAGTTCACATGATGCCGCCCTTCACCCCGCGTGTTCAGCATCAACTGCTTCACTCGACGATGGTTGGCTCTCCCTCTTTACATTGCTGTTTATTTCCAATGATGCTTTTCCTCAAATCACAATCCACTGCACACGACTTCCAGTGCTATCGCAAATTTTTGACTTCGAGGGAACCCACACCTCAGACTTCAACCTGCCGGAGCGAAGCGGAGGTTTTATCTTGTCATTAAGGTAGAGAGCGTGGGAATCCAGCACCCTTATGTAAGCCGTGACAAGCGTGACGTGACATTCCAAATTTCAGGTCAGAGAAAAAAAAGTTGAATAAATCGGTGCAAAAAAAATGGATTTCATAGAGGGAAAAAAACTACTACAGACTGTTTCATCAATGTTACTGCATTATAAGGCAGCATCCTATGGCTCTTGTATGTCTTCTGTAGATAACCTAAATCCTTCCCAGTACAGCCAAAATAATAAGCTGAGACAAATCAGGCCGCTCTATTGGAAAACCGAAGAATAAACAATTGAGGTAGGTAGGTAGATAGATTACCAGCACGGTCCCCACTTCATCCAGACATCTTTTGACATTTGCTTCCATCTCCTCAATCTTCTTGGTGCTGGGGGACTTTTGACACTTGAATTTTGCTGCCCAGTACATTTCAATAAAATTGAGTTCGCAGTGGTATTTAGGATAGAAGTCACAATTCTGAGAAGGTTTGAGCTGGGGAGTCCAATTCCGAAGAGATTTGAGCCAGGCCATCTGGAATAGGGGTATTAGTCTGTGATCTCTTCAAAGTGAGAGCTGCTGTGGCCTTGGAAAGGTTATTCTGCCTAGCTTTCTTGCTTTTACTGGCTTTGGGCATGGTGCAAATGGAGGGGAGAGGAGGACCAAAAATGCGGCTTCAATGAGGCTGTAACGAGGCTCGGGTGAGGTAGGGCCTGACTTGGATGCCGGATCCATGGATGGACGTGGATGGATGATGGCATCAATGGATGGATTAGGTGTGGACGTCATCCACCGGACATAAGCGCTCTTTCGTCTGTACCACCACCAGGACGCGCCGGGCGCTAAACTCGACGCGTTCCATACCCTCTCTACCCTCTATAACCCTCTATAACCTCTTTACACCCTGCATAATACCCTTAATATGTCTCTTTCTCCCCTGCACGACCGTACAAATTCCCCCGGGCTACCAACACCACCACCATCGGCCACACGGGCAACCTTCAGCTTTAATAGTCAATTTACCGCTGCCGCCTATTCTGCGAGCGATGAGAACTCCCGGGAATTTCCAGCCACCATAGAACCTCCGCGTAAGCGACGCAAGATTGAAGACTCGTTCGGTAATAAGACGGACACCGAGATATGGGAGCTTTCGAATGAGGACATCGTTGGTGCGTTACTTCTAGCTAGTTGCACCTCATCACCTACCATTACCCCTGCTAAATCACGTCTCACAGAGAAGGAGTTTGCTCGGCGTACCTCCGACGCTTGGAAGCATTACCACATCACCGTCCAGCGACACACCGGGGCCATTACATTTATCTTCAAGTGCAAATTCCAGAACCCTAAGCACGCAGATTGTACCCGCGAACGCGCGAAGATGAAGCAAGGGAATAGTGCGTTAGGGGAGGCCGCAAAGAAGTGCGAGCAAACGACGGCACCCGTCGCTGCACCTGCAATGTGCGTGCTCTGTGCTTCCTTGTTGTCGGGTCCGTGCTGATTCTCTATAGCCCCTACACCGAGGCTCGCCACCGCGCCCTCTGCGCGGCCAATAAGCGACCTTTTGCCTCGCAAGATGATGTCTGGTATCAGATGGAAGTCGAGCTCCTGCGTCCCGGCACTATCACACCCTCCTCCAAGGTGGTTGAGCGCGACGTGGGGCTCCTTTACACCGAGTACGCGAAAGTCATTCGATGGTATTTCGAGGTGAGTACTCGCGCATCCTTCCTTAACTGATAGTGATGCCCAACGATGGGATAGAAACGTTTCCGTGCCATACACATCGTCGTCGATGGATGGACCGCGCCAATAGACACCTCTTACCTCGGCTGTGGTGTGCAGTGGGAGCAGGACGGGGAGTCTCACTTCATGGTCTTAGAGTTCATTCGGTGAGTCGTCCATTGATGACCTGCATGCCGATATCTCACAGACACCCAAACAGCCTAGACGAGAGACATACAGGTGAATATCTCGCACAGAAGCTGCATGAGTGTCTTGAGAAGTATGGGCTTTCGAAGCATGTGAGGTCGTCGAACATACTT